CCAGATTCTGTAACTGCCACCTATATTGCTACGATTGATCCGGAGCGTAACAAGTGGTAATCAGAGCCTCTTTCCCTCCCCGATCTGTCGCCGTTTTCCCCTCAGATCTGGCGGGCCGTTTCCCATCGATCATCCAAACCAGGCGAGGCAAGGCTACTACGATGGAGGATCACACCAAGGCGTTGGCGGATCTGACGGCGGCCATCTCAGCGTTGACGACCAAGATCGACGAGATCCACCCGATGGTCCTCGAGTTGCAAGGGTGGAAGCCTACGATCGAGCAGTCTGTGGAGGAGCTGCGGGTCGAGGTGGGTGATCTGCGCTCACATGTGGCGCAGGCGGCACCGGGGAAGGCGCCCGGGACGCTGGACGTGGAGGCACCAAGGAGGAAGGCGCCACCGGTGCGATTGGCGGATCTTCCTCCCTTGCTTCCTCTAGCGGCATCAGCATCGCGCCAGACGGCGGACATGGAGTCGGCAAGGAACGGAGGGCCGCTGATCCGCTTGATGGATCTGCCTCCTCTGCTTCCTCTGACGGCAGCAGCTCCGCGCCAGGTGGCGGGCGAGCCGCTCTCGGCTCGTGGTGACGACAGGCAGGGCCACGGGTTCACAACACTTCATCGGGGGAAGTCACCAGGTGAGCACATCCTGGGGGCGCCTCCGGTCACCGGTGCGTTCGATTCTCATCATTCCGGGGAGAGTTCGTTTGCAGGGGATCGAAATTTTTCTCGCCTGCCTTTTCCTCCGCGTTTTGATTTTCCCACCTTTGACGGCAGTCAGCCTCGGCCATGGCGGCTGAAGTGCGAAGCCTATTTCGCGTCTGCACACTCTCTCCCGACACTTGGGTGAGTTGTGCTGCTATGTATTTCACGGATGGGGCTCTTTCCTGGCTGCAAGCTACACAAGCACATCTCCTCTACTCTAGTTGGGACGATTTCGCCGCTGCTGTTTGTTTGCAATTTGGTCGGGAGGAATTTCAAGTCCTTTTGCGTCAGTTTAATGGTCTCAAACAGACTGGGTCCGTGACCGAATATGCGGACAAATTCACTCAGTTCATGCATAATCTCACTGCCCATCACACCTCTTGGGAGCCGGCTTTCTTTATTACTCATTTTGTGGATGGTCTTCTTAAGGAAATTAGAGTTGCTGTTTTGTTGCATCGACCACAAACGCTCAATACTGCCGTGGATTTGACTTGTTTGCAGGAAGAGGTGGTGGAGGCTATGAAGAGAGACGATCGGTGGGCTCCTAGTGGCTCCCATTCCCGGGCCATTCCGCGCACAGCCCTTCCCCTGCCACCTCCACCACCACCTCGACAAGTGGCAGGGAGCAGCTCGGATGCGCGTGCAGAGGACCGCCGCTCCACGAAGGCGGCTCGAGCACCGGCAAGTGACGACCGGATGTCGATGCTGCGAGCCTACCGAAGGGCCAAGGGGCTCTGTTTCACCTGTGGTGAACGGTGGGGCCGCGATCATCGTTGCGGGCCTATGGTCCAGCTTCACGTCGTCGAGGAAATGCTTGACATGTTGCACACGCCGGCGACAGACACGGAGGAAGAGCAACTGGAGGCGCCATCGGCAGATTGTTGTGTGCTGTCTAGAGAGGCGGTGGAGGGCGCCGACTCGCCCACAACTATGCGCCTCCATGGCTGGGTGCAGAACAGAGAAGTGCTTATGCTGATTGACTCCGGCTCGTCGCATAGTTTTGTCAGTTTGGCTCTGGCTGAGCGGTTACAGGGGGTTCAGGCTGCTCAACACCCTTTCTCAGTTCGGGTGGCCAATGGGGGGCAGATGTGCAGCGATCAGGAGGTTTCTGACTGCCAGTGGCGATCGCATGGGGTGGAATTCCACACCACTTTCAAGGTTCTGCCGTTGGGGTGCTACGATGCCATTCTCGGCATTGACTGGCTAGCAACACATAGCCCGATGCAAGTCCATTGGCTGGAAAAGACGATGAGCTTCGAGTACCAGGGCAAGCGAGTGCATCTGCAGGGAGCTCAGGCCGATACCACCTCCTGTCAGATGATATCCAAGAACGAGCTTAACTTCATGATACAGACCTCTGCCATCGCCCGAGTGGTGCAACTGTGCACGCTTCAGGAACAGGCCAAGGAGCCACCGTTGCCAGCTGAAGTGAGCGAGCTGATTGAGCAATATGAAGTGCTATTTGAAGAACCAAGAGGACTTCCACCACATCGAGCGTTCGACCACGCTATTCCATTGGTGCCAGGAGTGAAACCGGTCAATCTAAGACCATACCGGCACAACCCAGCGCAGAAAGATGAGGTGGAGAAGCAAGTGGCCGACATGCTCGCCCAAGGAATCATTCAGCCCAGCGTGAGCCCGTTTTCCTCACCTGTTTTGTTGGTGCAGAAGAAGGACTTGACATGGAGGTTTTGCGTAGATTATCGCCACCTCAACGCGATCACGGTCAAGAACCGCTACCCCCTCCCCATCATTGACGAGTTGCTGGACGAGTTGGCGGACTCGTGTTTCTTTACCAGCTTGGACCTAAGGGCAGGATATCACCAGATTCGCATGAGGCCAGGGGATGAATACAAGACAGCCTTCAAGACGCACCATGGACACTTTGAGTTTAAGGTCATGCCGTATGGAGTCACAGGGGGGCCCAACACGTTTCAAGGGGGCATGAACATCGTCCTGTCTCCGCTGTTACACAAAGGAGTGCTGGTGTTCATTGATGATATCCTGATCCACAGCTCAGACTTGATCACTCACGTTCGGTTGTTGCGCCAAGTTTTCAGCCTGCTGAAGGAGCACCATCTCAGAATCAACCGCAACAAGTGCTCTTTTGCTCGACCCAGCTTGCTCTACCTTGGGCATGTAATCAACAAGGAAGGGGTTCGCACTGATGCAAAGAATATCGCGGCAGTCTAGTCTTGGCCGCCCCCGATAACGGTGAAAGAAGTGCGTGGATTCTTGGGATTGGCAGGGTATTATCGGAAATTCGTCCGTGGCTTCGCGCTCATCTCCCGGCCGCTGACAAACCTGCTGAAGAAAGGTATGGTTTTCCGCTGGACTGACGAGGAAGAAGGCTCCTTCCGGGCACTCCAGCAAGCTCTGATCTCAGCTCCCGTTCTGGCTTTGCCCGACTTCAAGAAACCATTTCACTTGGAGACCGATGCTTCTGCGCACGGGATTGGAGCGGTTCTCTCCCAGGACAAGCACCCAGTTGGGTTCCTGAGTAAAGCACTCGGGCCGCGCAACAGCGCCCTGTCCACTTATGAGAAAGAGGGGCTCGCGATCCTGATGGTCGTGGATCACTGGCGCCCGTACCTGCAGAGCAACGAGTTCGCAATTCACACCGA